TGATGAATTAATCATTCCTAATAAAAGAGACACAAAGGTCCTGAAAGGATAAAAACTTAGCCCTCGTAATTTTGTTTGGAAGAGAGTTCAATTTAATCATCTGAGATTCTGGGTCGAGTTGTTTAAAGCTCGATTAGTGTTAATCCAGGTTCAATTCCATAGGTTTTCGAAGAGTAAACCGATGATTAGCGCTAATCGGGCTTTGAACAACCCAGTCCTGAAAGACACTCTATAGTGTAGCCATGTGAAATGCTCATCTAAATTATTCTCGACAACACTTATCAATAATTTCAGATAGTCAACTCATCGTGCCTAGATTACATAGAGCGGATTTCGTATGAGTGGGAAACGGACGGTACTGTACTGTGACCGTAATCGTACTGTAACCAAATTCTAGTGCAACATTGGTTCACAAAAATTGTGCAGGTCAGGTCCGGTAACTGTGCGGTAACCGTGCGGTAACGGTGTCCCACTCATACAAAATCCGCTCTATACAAACCGACATCTTGGTACGTTTATCCAATACCATGATGCACTTCGCAAAGTCAGCATTACGTCATTACTTTGAGCCTGCAGTGCTTACCTGTTGCGTAGAAACAACGTCTGACGTTCTTCGTGCTCATGCTGTATTTTCTTAGTAAATCCGCTGACAGGCCAGCGAGCGGTGTGCAGATACCTTTGACCAAAAACGGCGCGGCCGCCATGAATCCCATCTATAAGTAAACGGAAAGTGTAAAAAGCAGAGAAAAACATGTGAAAATACTGTAAATTGAAAATTAAGGGATCGATAATTATTATTTCCATTTTTTGGAAATATTTAATGACCCAGGAAGTCTCAAAAGTTCCTGTAAAAACCCGATAATCTTTTGAATATTTTGTTAATCAAGTTCTTGAATCCTTTTTGAATATAGTGGGAATTGTTCCAAGTGTATCACATGTATTGTTTCACTGCGACAAAATTTTGTTTAACGGACAAAACATCATGAATTGACTTCAAATGAACATGTTTTCGCTTTCATTTTGTCTTTTTTTCAATTCTGTAATAGAGAAATGTCTCGCCAATAATTACATTCAATTCTATACTAGGTGCATCACGGTTCTTTGAAATGCAAAAGTGATCGGAAATTTATGTAATTTGGTATTGGATGGGCCTGCTCTGCACTTATTTAATGTCATCGTTTGATGAGCAGCTTTGTATTGAGTGCTATTTTTGTTGACTTCTAAAACCCAGTATTTCATATGCAAGTAGTACTTTATTTAAGTTTCATTATATGAGACACATTCTTCAAGAAACTATTTCTGACTTTTTCCTTTTTGCCGTATTTTCGTCAAGTCATATGTTATGCACTAATGTCTATTTCACACTTTCATATTGTACTTGTACTTAAAGCAAACACAGCTTTTGAAGACAGTTTCCCATGCAAATTATTTATAGTTAATACTCAGTCATTGGCGAACTAAAATGACCACTATAGACTACTTGGCTGTGGATTACAGTCTAGAGTATTTTTTAAATTATAAAAATATTTTTTTTATTTTCTCTTTAAAAAGAGAAAGCTCACAGAAGGGGAAACCAATAAAATTCTTAGGAATAAGTATGACTAGATTAATCAAACAAAGGTAAATCGAAGTGGAAATTTGTTTGAAAAGCAAAGAGTATTTTTTTAATTCTAAGAGCTAACTAGAATGCTTTCATAATTACAGTATACAAGAAAGGTATAGCAGTGGTTACTCTCTGAATTTCCTGCTTATAATCGAGTTATACAGTAGCTTTGCCCATGCTATTCTACATGTACATCGAGTGAAACGTAAAATATTTTGTCTATATGTAATTTTCAGAAATATAAGGAAGTGATTTCAAAGTTTTGATTTCAAGATTTATTAGTGCTTCTTCTTTGGGAGTGTTTCATAGACGTTTATTATATGCAATTAAAGTCACTACTATTTTACACTTTATATGGTACATTGGTTTTTACACAGATGGTATCACAGTTTATGTAGAAATCTGATTTTCTCTACAACGTACTCTGCCGCTTTTTACAAGCCCTATTACTGGGTTTGGTCTACTTGGTACTGGTGAGGAGCTCTTCTGTTCCTTGCTTGGTTTAGTGTCTCTTTCCGACACAAACGTTCTTCGCCGCTTCTCGAAAGTCACGTAATAATATGATTTTTATGAAGAGACTGAAGCAGGAATTGACGATAGGCAGAAAAATCAGTGAAAAAAGATTTCTTATCAGGCTCTACTGTTACTAGATTTGGCTTTAATTAAAGGTCCTGAGCACTTCCTCTGTTTGGGTTCTTTTAAGTTCTTTTTTAAAGCCCTGTTAGTTGTCCTTGCATTTGCGGAGGTTCATTAGAGGCTGTTCTGTTCTGTATTTGGTTCAATGTCTTTCCTGAACACAGTACTTTCTTCGCTGCTTCTCGAAAGTCACGCAGAAATATGATGTAAATGAAGGGACTGAAGCAGGAATTGACGATGGGCAGGAAAGTCAGAGGAAATATAATGAAAAAAAGACCACACGATGGGTCTGCTCTATACGCATATGGGATGATTTTAGAGCCACGTTTATTCCGAAAAGCATGGGCAGATTTCAAAAAGAAACTGGGTAACCAACATAAGATGTACAACAAAGCTGAGACGACAACCATTCTCACAGCAGCTCGTGTACGTTGTGCTCGCATTTTCTGCTGGTCTTCACTCATATGGGCTTCGATGGCTTGTCTTCTTGACAGTCGCCTTACTGTGACAATGCTGAGAAAGAAGATTACAAAGCACAAAAATACGGTGCAAAAATGAGACAATAACATCAAAAACTTCAGCAGCCTTTCATTATCTCCGGCACCGTTAAGTTCAAATGTAAAGCAAAACTTCACAGTTCTAATTGTCAGAGAATAGGAATAAAAGGCAGCTATAATTATGGGAACCAACCAGGATATTCCTAATTTCATTATATGTTCTTTCAGTGTATATGGTCTCGACATTTGCAATGTTCCCTTTGTTGCTCTGAANAATAGTCTCCTTCACGGTTACCTGCGCCATCTTGAAAGGTAGCCGTGCCTTTGCATCGAAGCGAGACGACCGTTGAGCGTGCAACGATAGAAACCTTCTTTCACACCTACAGACAATTCTTCACAGGTTTCTATCATTACACGCTCAACGGTTGTCTCGCTTCGATGCAAAGGCACAGCTAACTTTCAAGATGGCGCAGGTAACCGTGAAGGAGACTATTGACTTCAAATGAACATGTTTTCGCTTTCATTTTGTCTTTTGATAATAACGAACCTATGGAGCATTGGCGCTGTTCAATTCTATAATAGGAAAATGTCTCTGCAATAATTACATTCACTTCTATGTTAGGTGCACCACATCGGTTCTTTGAATTGTATCAACTATGTACTCTTAATACAAAAGTAAACGGGAATTTATGTAATTTGGTATTGGATGGACCTGTGCTGCACTTATTTAATGTCATCGTTTGATGAGCAGCTGTATTGAGTCCTATTTTTGTTCACTTCTAAGACCCAGGATTTCATATGCAAGTAGTATTTTATTTAAGTTTCCTTATATGCGACACATTCTTCACCAAAACTATTTCTGACTTTTTACTTTTTTAAGTCATACGTAATACGGTAATGTCGAATTTCACACTTTCACATAGTACTTGTACCTGAGGAAAAGCAAACACAGCTTTTGAAGACAGTATCCCAAATTATTTATATTTTCTCACTCAGGCTGCTTTTTTACTTCTAAAACCCAGTATTTCGCAAGCATTTAAATCAAGTAGTATTTTATTTAAGTTTCATTATATGTGACATATTCATTGAGGGAATGACTCTGACTCTTTACTGTATGCCGTATTTTTGGTTGATAGTCTATGTAATACAGTAATGTCGATATTTTCAAGCCCTATTGCTTGGCCTGGCATTTGCTGAGGTTCATTAGAGCATCTTCTGTTCTGTATTTGGTTCAATGTCTTTCGTGGACACAGCACTTTCTTCGCTGCTTCTCGAAAGTCACGCAGAAATATGATGTAAATGAAGGGACTGAAGCAGGAATTGACGATGGGCAGGAAAGTCAGAGGAAATATAATGAAAAAATCACCACACGATGGGTCTGCTCTATACGCATATGGAATGATCTTAGAGCCACGTTTACCCCCAAAAGCATGAACAGAACTGAAAAAGAAGCTGGGTAGCCAACATAAGATGTACAACAAAGCTGAGACGACAACCATTCTCACAGCAGCTCGCGTACGTTGTGCTCGCATTTTCTGCTGGTCTT